AAAGTTCTGTGAGGACAGAGCTGGTCTCTCAAAACATTTCCAATTTTTCTATCACTGATAAACTGGTACTACAGGTCGTCTGCCTTATCAAAAATTATCATGAGAAACAGGATTAGTGAGCCACACTTAATTTGTTTTTAGTGACAAATTTAAGTTGTCAAGTAAGGCTGTACATTAAATATTTTAAATTAAACAATTTAAAATTTAACAAATTAAAATTTAAATTGTTAAATTCAGCATAGCACGAAAGTTCATTTTTTCCATTAGAATTTCATAAGACTATGTTTCTGTAGTTCACTGTTATATTGGTTTCCAGCAGCTACTATGATAAATTAACAGAATTAAGTGGCTTGAAATAACAAATTTATTCTCTCTAAGTTCTGGAAGACTATTCAAAATGTCAACACACTAGGGGAAAATTCATATCTTGCCTCTTACAGCTTCTGGTGAATGCCAGGCTTCCCTTGACATCGCCATATCCCTCCAAACTCTGTCTCCATATTACCATCTCCTCTCTCTTACCTAATTTGTCTTGGCCTCTTTCTTATAAGAATACTTATGATGGTATTTACAGCCAGCCAGGGTAATCCAGGATAATCAACTCATCGCAAAGTATTTAGCTTAATCTTATCTGCGAAACCTTTACCGTACAAGGTAACACTCAAACGCTCTAGGGATAAAGACTCGACATCTTTGGGGACAGCATTCATCCCACTACATCTGCTCTCACTCTACTCAAAGCAACTCTCTTTGATGGCTTTTTGTTACCTGACACAGCCACTTAACCTGAGGGAGAACTATACATTCACTTTAATTGGAGAGATTAATCATAGGGATCTTCTAGTTTAGGGGTTAACTTCATTCTTCAAGGCTAACTTGAAACCAAAGGGTAGAGTGGCTCATGTGTGTTACTCTCCTACTCTCTACATTTCCATCCAGCTTGGTTTTCTTTCTGGCAGGGTGACAGATTAAGAAAAATTCATATTTAATTTCTGCTGTTTCCTGTATCAGGACTTCTCCAAACTACTGTCTTAAAATCGGTATA